CCAGTCGCAGACGTTTGGACTACCAATTGATGTTTCACAGCCTCAGATCTCGGACATCTACGACAGGGACAGTTTTCCAAACTACAAGCCTCTCCTTTGTCAATAGGATCAGCGGACCACACAAAGAGAACTCACATCCACGGTGAAGCAGAGGTACCAGGAAACAAGGACTTTGAAGGGACAAGGGTACCAAGGAACAGGATCCAGGAATTCACCCAGGGTGCAGGCTGCTGGACTTGCTGAATCTCTGGGTCACGTCCGCCAGAAGATGCAGGCTGCTGGACTTGCTGAATCTCCCGTGTACCTCCTTCAGGTACACGTCCGCCAGCAGCACCAATTGCGTACGCAAATCTGCAGGCCCGCTACACGTTCGAGTTGGTTAGCCAGTCTGAGGAGAGAGTCATTCTTCTTTGTCTATTTCGGCGAAGCAGGCCCGCCTGTGTGGGCCTGCGGCCCCACCTTCAAGACTCTCTTCTACTGAATCTGGCATCATCAGCAGCAAGGCATTTCTTCATTTTATCTGGAAGAGACCTGGACAACAGGGTGTACCACCTGTCACAGCATGGCCTAATGAGGTAAGTTACTTTGTTTGCTTTTTCGTTTTCTTTTTCATAGACAAAAGTAAAAAAAACTTAAAAAGAAGGAGAGGGCTGCAGCAAGGCATAAAGAGGACCATTCTGGATGCATCTGACCGCTATTGCGTCCTAGTCCTTGTGCGAGTATGCCATTGCTACACCATAGACAGCTGAGTCGTTTTTTCCTTTTTTTCCTTCCCCTTTTTTTTCATGTTGCGCCGTTGAGAGTCATCATTCCAGCTTCTGTAGAGAATTGACTCCCCACGAACCTCGTCTTGTGATCTAAAATGTATACTTCCCTATTAGGGCCTCCTTAGACACTACTCAAACTCAAGGGTTGACCGAAAATTCACTGCCCTCATGGTTTCAGTTTCCCGCTCTCAAGTGCGCATCCTTGAAACTCAAGTGCGGCTGGGGCAAAATCGCACTTGAACTCAAGGTACCTCGCCGAGGTACCTTGAGTGCAAGTGCGAAGGGATACCGCAGAGCACTTCTACTGGGGCTTTTTGTGTTTTCGTTTTTTTTCTTTTCCAGCAGGCGTTCTGGTCCAGGATTGGTCAGCAAGCCGGGGGTCTCCGTTTCGAGTGCAGCTTGTTCAAGGGTTTCCTTAAGTGCATGTGGAACCATAAATGGAGTTGGTGTAAATTAATCTCAACTTCTCGTTTAGGGTGCCCTTGAAACTCAAGTATTTTCAAGTGGTGTCGAACGAGGCCCTTAGAAGTGGGATTCATTCTGGAAACTGGTTGCAAGAAAGTGCCCTCAAACTTTCTTTCTGTTCCTTTTCTTTTCCTTTTCTTTTCCTTTTCTTTTCAAGTCTTTGCCTTGGCTTCGGTGCATGTGGAAACGCATGCACATTCAGCGGCCTAGCTCAGTTGTTAACGCACACAAGTGGCATTCAGGAGGTCTTGGGTTCAATCCACATTGGCCTCATGTACCTTCCTGGGCAAGCTTGGCGCCCGCCACCTAAAGATATGTTGTTGGTCTCCCCGAGTGGCATTGAGCAGAGACTGCTGGTGTTCATAGGGGGAGGGGACCGGAGGGGAGGCACACTGATTGGCCCATAGAAGAAGCTCGGTCCTGATGCTACTGGCTGACCCCTTGCCTTGCGCGTTACCGGGTGCATTTCTGCAAAATGGCTGGGAAAGGTACTTGTGGTGATTCAGAATGGAAGTTCTACAGAGAAGAGGTGAGGCTTGGGGAAGCGGGTCCGGGGCTAGGTGACATTTGGGGCTGTCGAGCTATCTTGAAAGAATGTACTCACCTCACACTACCTACCTACCACTACTCCTAATTGTAGGCATACTGGGAACCCGTAGCAGCCAGAACCGTGTTCATGAGAGAACATGTGGGGGCTGCTCCCGACCTGCAGGTGGGCGATACCGGCTAGGTAGGGGACAGCCGGTAGCATCAGGGAGCATGCCAACAGGACCAATCCCTGTGCCTCCAGTGAGGCTCGAAAGAAGAAGAAAAGGGAAAAAGTACGACTTATTGGATTCGAACTCTGGTATATGCATTTCAACGGTTCATGAGGGTACCAAGTGGGTAGGCCCGTTGGTGCCTCTCAATTTTTTTTTTTGCGGTTCATGAGGGTACCAAGTGGGTAGGCCCGTGTGTGTCTCTCAAATTTTGTTTTGCCTCTCAAATTTTGTTTTGCCTGCCGAATGCCGTACGAAGCCGGCATGCGGTCGGACACCCACAACACTTACAAGGTTGAGTCGGTATGCAGTCGTAGGGCCTCGCCACACCACTCTTGAAAACGCGAAATGTCTCAAGAGTTGTCAGATTTTCTCTTTTTTTTTTTTTGTTTCAAGAGTTTCGGGCTCTTCGCCACACAGACCTCTTGACAAACGGACTCTTGAGAAAAGGCCCCAACCGCTGGAGGACTTTCAAAAGTTGTGTGTGGTGAGGAGGCCTACTCTTGAGAATTGCTAACCAGCGGCCGAAATCACAAGAGTTGACTCTTGAAAGCGGAGGCCGAAATCACTGACCGCTGTCAGCTCTTGGAAATCAAGCATCCGTCCACCACCGGGCCGAGGATGCTTGACATATAGAGTGTTGCAGGTGGGGATTTCGGGTTCCTCAAGAGCGACTCTTGAACCCCCGTTCTGACAGAGCTTGAAGTTTTTTTCCGATCCAATCTCTCAAGAGGGGGTGTGGCGGCACCGCAACTCTTGAAAACTCTTTCTCAAGAGTAGGACGCTGGGCCCTGTTCCCAGCTTGTACCAATTTGAGAGGACATGGTTGTATCTATGGGACGGTGGACCCGGTTTCCAGCAGGTGTTGCTCCCCACCAATAGATGGAGCTTGTTTTGAAAAAAAAAAAAAAAAGAGTGGTGTGGCGAGGCCCGTATTGTGCCATTCCCGCGGAGCGGCCACGTGCGTGCAAGTCGAGGGGCGAAGCTAGCCTACTGTATTCCCTCGAAATGAACGCATGGTCATTGGCATTATTGTTTTGTACGACACCGGAAAGTCGCCCCAAACGTTGAAAAAAATGAAAAAACAAAAAAAATAAAATTTGATCCCCAAACAAATGCAGCTGATTGACCCTACGGCGGAAGAAAATGGCGCAAGTAGTTCGCTGCATTAGACGTACCCACGTGGCAAACTCTATTCACCATAGTTAATTTATTTATGGCGGCACTTTATTCGTCGATTGCGGCAGTATACTGGCTTCGTCACACCTTCCCAAGAAGGTGGCAAGACGCATCCCTTGCTATTCTTAGTATTCTCTGCAGGGATGCACTCCTACCTTTTTCGCTTCGACGGTGGTGTGGCGAGGCCGTGCATGAGGGACTATGGGCCTACTGGTAGTTCCACCACTCGCCATCCGCCAAGATTCTAAATGCATGTGGGCACGTCCTTCCATAAAGATGCACTTGAACAATGTTGGCCGACGGAAAATAGCGCAACGACCCAAGAGCCTAGCTCAGTGGGTACACCCATGAACTGTTGAAATACAGACCTGTGTTCGAATCCAGATGATGGAACTTGACGAGTAAAACCGACTACTAATGAATTGCTTGGGGCCGGTCAGCTCAATGATAATATCTCAAGACCATCACCCCTTTTTTATTTTTTATTTATTTATTTATTTATTATTATTTTTTTTAAAGAAAAAAAAGAGTAGCGCAACGAGGCCCTATGGCATGAGTACTCGCTTGCTTTTTCATGGTCTTCTTCGCTGTGGGCAGAAGTACTCGCTTGCTTTTTCATGGTTTTCTTCGCTGTGGGCAGAAGGCAGCGCAAAAGGGCTGAGAGTGAGGGCCTCGCCATTCCACTCTCGAAATGTGAAAAAGACAAAAATGTGGCGGGCGCATCTGGCCATGTTCTAGCTGGAAGTTCGCTCTCGGCTTGCACATTTTGAGAGTGGTGTGGCGATGCCGTGAGGCCCAACTCGTGTTGTTTCAGTGGTGTTAGACTCGAAGGAATCTGGTCCCGAACGTGCCGCGTGTCATGATCACATCGAACGAGTGTAGAAAACTGCGACGAAACAGCACTAGCGACGATCTGAGGGGCCTCGCTCCACAACTACCGGTAGGTATCCGTTTGCACTTGAACTCAAGTATCTCTGGGAGGTACCTTGAGTTCAAGTGCAATTTAGGCCCAGCAGCACTTGAGTTTCAAGTATGCACACTTGAAAGCGGGAAAGTGAAAACATTACGGCGGGGTCACTAGGGAGGGGTGGAACGAAGAATTTTCCGTCAACCCTTGAATTTCCCGTCAACCCTTGAATTCATGTGGTGTCGAACGAGGCCCTTGGCCCCGGTTAACGCAAAGACCGAGGGGGCATTTTGCCCAGTAGAGGATCCCTCGTCGCACCCTTGTTGTTTCTCTTTTTATTCTTCTCGGGAGAAATTCCACCTTTCCGTGAAATGAGAGAAAAACATTTGGCTCTCGCTACGGGAGCATGCGGACCTCCGCCAACGGTCTGCTCTCAAGGCGCCCGGTCTCCTTCTCGATCTATAAAGTTTGCGGACCTGCCGGAAAAAGATATGTTCAGGTCGCCATCCTTGTCGTCGCAGTGCCATTCGAGTGGTCAGGCTGATATAGAGGTGACGTCAACAAGGGTATTTCCTAGCCCCAAAGCAGCGMAGGAAATCATCAGCCGACCATAACGCCGAGAGTGCATCGCTACTTGCTTCACAACATCGTCATTCGCTCGCGCGGACACTCRCACACACGCACACTTACACACGCACACACACACTTACACACACACACTTACACACACACACTTACGCACACACACACACACACACACACTCACACACAGAGGGAGGCATCCGAGGTGGCCCACCCACACAGGAACCTTGATTGCGTTAGCTTGTGCGCCTCGGGTATCTCAAAGGTCGAGGGAGGCAGCTACCTACCGGGAGGAGTTTGATCCGCTAACCGGGCTTGACGCTTCCGCTTCTGGCTGGTCAGGTGCGTGATCTTCATTATAGGAGTAGCAGCAGCGGCAAGAGCAGTAATAGATCAAGCACCATGTGYCGGTGGACTATGTTCGTCGGGCCGGCGGTTGGGCTGGACGCCGTCCTCCTGAAGCCGTCTCACTCTGCTATCGACATGGCGACCAGTCACTACATCCCTCACATTCTGCACCCAAAATCGGACCTGGTGGACGTGCTACTCCATGCACGGCGTAACCACCCCATCAACCTTGATGGATTCGGCGTTGGCTGGTACCCGCTCGACGACACCTCTCCCTCCTCCTCGGCGTTGAAGGCTAGGGCGCCGCCAATGGTGTACAAGACAGTGAAGGCCGGCGCGGAGGACGATCGTCTCAAGGAGCTGGCGCAGACGGTTAAGAGCGAGTGTTTCTTTGCGCACAATCGAGCAAGCACGGCCGGAGAGGTGACAGTGGAGAACTGCCATCCGTGGACGTACGGAAGGTTCATGTGGATGCACAATGGCGGGATCGCGCGGTTCGCGCAGGTTCGCTGCTTCATGCTGGCGGAGATGGGTGCAAGGKTCGCGGCGCAGATCCAGGGGCAGACGGACTCGGAGGCGGCTTTCTTCCTCTTCCTGCACTTCTTGGCGGAGGGCCACGCGCAGGCGGCTCCGCAGGAGGGGTCCCGCGAAGAACGGCAAGCTTGCGATGACGACGAGAGGGCTTTCATTGATCCGGAGATGGCGATCCGGCTTCCCAGCACCGCAGCGATGCTGGAGGCKGCGATGGAGAAGACAGTCCAGTTCATAGTGAAATCTGTCAATCTAGTTTGCCAGGAGGACGAGGGGGAGCAAGAGAATGGCGGGCCTAATTGCACGTCGGAGGAGAAGAAGAAGAAGAAGAGGGGGCCCAAGCGGAGGGAGCGGTCCTCGTTGAACTTCGTGGTGACGGACGGGGCGAACGTGGTGGCGATCCGTTTCAGGGACTCGAGGGTCGAGCCGCCGCCATCTCTGTTCTACGCGCACGGCATCATGCATCCGCCGTCGAGCAAAGGCGGGTCGCTKGACTTCGTGCCGCCGGAGCCCGGGCGAGATAGAGATGGTCTTCTGCGCGCGGCGATCGTGGCCTCGGAGCCGTTGATCAATTTTGACGACGAAGCACACCTTCAAGAGGACTGGCATCTGATCGAAGCCAACCACATGGTCATCATCGACGAACGAAGGGACCTCAAGATGCGGAAGGTGTGCATAGATTGCGCTGCACTGGTCGAGCATAAGGTGCGACGATGGGGGCACAGGTGCACCGCGGAGAGGACCGCGGACGCTAGCACCGAAGGTAACGTCCACTTGGCGTACGCTGGGATTGCTCGTGAGCAATCCCACCATTCGGAAGATAAGGCTTTCTGTTGTCCGTCTTCCGGCTCCGAGGAGGAGGAGGAAGAGGAAGACTGGTACGTACGGGAAGCGGGGGCGGAAGGTGCTGCCGATTTGGGCCTGCCGCCTGCGGCGACGTCTCGCAGTGGGCTTGGCAATGGGCATGTGGGGAAGGTGGAGCGCACGAGGGAGGGGGAGCAGGCGGGTGAGAAGATGGGTCAGGAAGCAGCAGCAGACCCAGGGGCGACAGCCGGGTTTGCCCTTGAGCTGTTCGTCCAGTCCTCCTTGGACGCAAGATCGGCATCTGCCCTCGTCGTTGGCCCGACGAGCCCTATCCACGCCGTGACGGTCTGAGTGCCGTCTGCAAGGCCTAAACTGGATTTTGATTTTGCACACAGTCGGTCTTCCTAAACCGGATTTTGATTTTGCACCAGATCTGAAGGAGAGAGATCCGTCCAAGTGCTCGTCAGCTCTTTGAGATAGATTCTCGGCTGTTCGGCCCGTAGACGGTCGAAACTCAATCTCTGATAACGGGTTACGCGTGAGATTCACAGTCTCTCTCTTCACCGTCCTATCGCTCTCCCCGATAGGCTATAGCACATCTGACCCGCTTTTGAGTCTTGATTATGTCATGCCCTCGTCCTCCCGTAGTAGTCGTCGCGTCACCGTTGTAGCGTCGCGACTCGCGAAAAACCTCAATCCGAGGTGCATTAGCGAATCCCTTAGGAAGTTAGGATCACAACTCGGATGTACATTCATCGTTTTYTTCCCACAACTTCGGAAGTAAATTTCAGCCACTTCACACAGAGTTTGGACCTCAAGATAGGCTTTCCGTGCTCTGAAGACTGATCGATCAGTACCCTTGGAAATGATTTTTTCGGTGTTCGGGATCCCTGTTTCTCCTTCACTTCACAATCAGCGAGTTTGCTGCTAACGATTGCCTCGCGCACACTGCACCACGTCGCCTCAATCGTTCATTTAACGTGTTTAATTTAAAATTTTAATGACCTGACACTCTGTCTTCCTCGGACCGATCTTTACATTGAAGACCTCATTGGAAAGAGCTCTCTCAAGGTCTCTCTCTCTCTCTCTCTCTCTCTCTCTCTCTCTCTCTCTCTCTCTCTCTCTCTCTCTCTCTCTCTCTCTCTCT